AACCAATATAGAGAACTATATGCCTATAAGTTTACTGTCGCACCTTTACAAGCTCTTCACAAGAGTTATAACCAACAGGTTAACATCAAAGTTCGACTCCTACCAACCTGTGGAACAGGCTGGTTTTCGAAAGGGTTTCTCTACAATTGATCGTTTACAGGTGGTTAGAACACTAATTGAATAATCTGTGGAATATAGTGCCAATTCATACAGCTTTCATCGACTTTCATGAGGCATTCGACTCGATTGAAATCTGCTCTATATTAAAATCCATGGACAACGCATGGTTCGATTCCAGATATACTACAATAATTGGAAACATCTACAAAAATGTATTCCTTCATGTAAAAATCAACGACGAAACTAAGACCAATACTATTAAGGTTAAACGCGGGGTACGACAGGGAGACACTATTTCGCCGAAGTTATTTACATCAGCTCACGAGGACGTTTTCAAAAATCTCAAGTGGGAAAACAAGGGAATCAAGATCGATGGAACAAATCTGAACAACCTCATGTCTAAGAGCCCGCTCATTTTTTCGACCTTGAAGCGAACCACATTTCGAATGTCACGTAAACGATTCTTCGTGAAAAGACGTACATGAAATGATAACGGTGCCTCTTGAGATTTTGCCGAAAGCATGTTTTTTTGATTGAAAAATGGACCGTTTTTTTATAACATATACCTTTTTCATCCCGACGCGACGAACGAAATCAACGCCAAAAAGTTCCTTTTAATGTGTATGCTTAAAAAAACCTACGGTGCCGCGACCTATCCTGCCGCAACCACTGGCACCGTGGCGATAAATGGGGTGGTTTAACGCAATTTACTACCTTTTTGGTCACCGTATATTTTTGCACCCCACCTTCAGCCTTTATTTTTACAGGTGATAGGTGTAAATACAAAAGTTATGCAGTTTTAGCTAATTTTTTAGAATCCATCGTCAGAAACCATAATGTATGATCAGAAATTTGAACATTTGAACAAATCCTGAAACATCGAGTGGTATTCAAAAGGTTATACAACGAACTAAACTTTAATGCTTTATTAATTTTTATTATTATTAATAACAATATTGCCACCAAGCGCGATAATCCCAAAACGCTTATCACTTTTAAAGCCTCTCGTGTCATATGGGAATAATGTACATACAGTGAGTTGTATAATCAATATTACACAGGCAGACGATTTGTTTGACAGCAATACTTCGGCAGACGCCTGTCAAATTTGTAATTTTCAAGTTTTAGTGAACAACATCTATCAAATTTTGTTTTTTTGCAAATCGATTCCTTCACTAACGTACTCTCAGAAAAAAATATCGGTAAACGAAAAAGACGGCAGCGTTTTTTTGGCAGACGCTGGAATAATGACAAGTTGATTTATGGTAAAAATACTGATAATAGCTGATATTCGTGAAAGCGTTAGAGCAGCTCTAGTGTATTCAAAATTCAAATAGGCAAAGATTTATTTGACAGCACAATTTTGGCAGACACTATCAAATTTTGTCACATACAGGGTGTCCCAGCCGAGAGTGATCCATTTGAAATGCTTATAACTTCTAAACTAGTTGTGCTAGCGACCTGCGGCTTGCGCCATTCGACTTCTCGTGGCCTAAAGTTTTTTTAAGTAGGTTGCAAATTTTCTTGCCTCTCATACAGGGCGAGTAAAAAACATCATCCGTTTTTCAACATCGAAATTCTTTTTTAGCCGTAAAAAATTGAAATCTAAATCCTGGTATTTTAGCATAAGCATGGCAGCTTCATGTTGTAGATATGTACTTGCTATCACTATGGCAAACAATTTTTAAATGTGTGTGTAGTTGGACATCAACTAAGTTAAAATAAATTTTCTACGAGAACTTAACAAGTTCCAGTGAGAATAGCGAGATACCCCAAAAGTAACAATTTGGCGTGGAATCTCTGTTGAGGAAAAATACGGAAATAACATCTGTAAATAAGTGGTTTAAATTAATACAATTAAATATAGTCAAATACTTATAAACTTAATTATAATTAAATTTTGACACTTAACATTTAACAATATTATTAAATAACGCGATTTAATTTTTTTCTAACTACGTTTTTTAAACTGGCTTCTTATTACACTAGGTCTAAAAATTCTTAGTAGTATTTATTGCGTAAAGTAACTTTTTTTATTAATTTTCACCTGATAAACATCATAATGATAAAAATATTTCAAAATTAGTTTTAGTTTTGAAGAAAAAAAAATCCATTTTTTCAAAAAATTGACAGAAACTATACATTTTTTACTCATTTGCGGAAGGGGCGACGTGGTTTTTTCGCTGCTCTTATATTCTGCTTCTGGAACATCTCGACAAACAGCCAAGCAATAATTCGCCAACATGGCAACATTTCACTTGCCCTGATATCGTTTTTCCATGATTGCGATGTCCTTATGGAAACGTTCTCCATCTTCACTCAATGCCCCACAGTTGTCTGGAAAGCAGTCTAAATGTGAATGTGAAGAGTGGATTTTCAGGGACATGTTGCAACCTAGTTCTTGATACGATTGTAACATCTTTCCGATTAGTTCACCATGGTTGTCGGTCCTCTTATTTCCTAAGAAGTTTTTTGCCACAAGACGAAAGTCTTCCCAGGATTTTTTTTCTGTACCTTCCAAAACACAGTCAAAATTATTATCTTTAAATAGTGTTCTAATTTGAGGACCGATAAATATACCTTCCTTGATCTTCGCTTCACTTAATCTTGGAAGTTTCTGACGAAGGTACTGAAAAGCAGGTCCATTTTTGTTCATTGCTTTTACGAAATTTGTCATTAGCCCTAGTTTAATATGCAACGGTGGCAATAATACTATTTGTGGGTCAACTAAAGGATAATTTTTTTGCCCAGGTTGAAGTGACTGACGATGATGCACATTTCTATCTCGACGCAGATAAAACAACAAAATTTCGTGTGGCCCATTTGTAGACCAAGTAGAAGAGCTACGACTTTCAAATCTCCACAGAATTGCCATCGATGTTCATCATACTTAATCCGCAACAAAAGGCTTTTCATATTTTCATAAGACTCTTTCATATGGACTGCGTGACCAATAGGAATCGACGGTAAAATATTTCCGTTATGTAGCAAAACAGCTTTTAAACTTAACTTAGAGCTATCTATGGAGAGCCTCCATTCGTTTTGTACAGAAAATATTAAGTGCTCTCATCAAACCACTGACATCTTCACAAAAAACTAAAGTGTCCACCATAGCAAAGTATTGCATCAACTCTTTTTGTCTAGTACGGAAAGAAGCTACGGCCTAGAAATTCTGTTTTGCTCTTTGGCAATGCTTAGTCCCTCACGAGATCGTTTAACTCAGCTTGCGTTATCTTGTGTGGCTGTGATGATGTACTAGGTGCTTTGAAATCTGACATTGATAAAGTTAATGGTGAACTGTCTGTGCTTTCATCTTCTTCGTCGTTGCCAATGTAAGGACGCTCCGGGATTGAGTGAATATTACTGTGCGACAGAGGACGACTAGCCGTTGGTACATTTGGATATAAGGTACTATAGCTAGGGATGGCAGTGTTTGCCAAAGTTATAGCAAGTACAGTACATACCTACAACATGAAGCTGCCATGCTTATACTAGAATCCCAGGATTTAGATTTCAATTTTTGACGGCTAAAACTTTAAGTTTCAAGGATGATGCTTATTGGTACATGGATACCTTTAGCATGACTCTTTTTTTTTGACGTTGTGATATATAGGGTGTTGTATTAAAGATAGTGGAGAATTTCGATGTTGAAAAACGGATTTTTTTTACTCGCCCTGTATGAGAAGCAAGAAAATTTGTAACCTACTAAAAAAAAATTTAGGCCAGGAGAAGTCGAATGGCGCAAACCGCAGGTCGCTAGCACAACTAGTTTAGAAGTTATAAGCATTTCAAATGGGTCACTCTCGGCGGGGACACCCTGTATATGACAAAATTTGATCGTGTCTACCAAAATTGTGCTGTCAAATAAATCTTCTGCCTATTTGAATTTTGAATACACTAGAGCTGCTCTAACGCTTTCATGAATATCAGCTATTATCAGTATTGTTCACCATAAATCAACTTGTCATTATTCCAGCGTCTGCCAAAAAAACGCTGCAGTCTTTTTCGTCTGCCGATATTTTTTCTGAGAGTACTTTAGTAAAGGAATCGATTTGCAAAAAAACGAAATTTGATAAATGTCATTCACTAAAACTTGAAAATTACAAATTTGACAGGCGTCTGCCGAAGTAATGCTGTCAAACAAATCGTCTGCCTATGTAATATTGATAGTTCCTCAAACTGTTAATTCGTTTCCGAAAATTTCGATCTTGATCAATATCGTTCACCGAAAAACCTGCCAGCTCCTATACTAGATGGGGCTAAACATAACCGCAAACACAAAAATAATGAGTCCAATAAATTTACGCATCTATAAAGATAACTCTGTCATCGAAAATGTAAAAGAATACAATTACATGGATCATATTTTATCACTAGGAAAGGAAAACCAATCAAAGTGAATACCAAAGCGAATAAAACTCTCAAACTCTACTGGGCGGCATTTGGTAAATTTCCATACATATCAAGAAATAGCATTATCCCCATTAATTTAAGACGTGAAGTTTTCAACGCCTGTGTTCTACCTGTTGCAACATACGGAATGGAAACAGCTGCCATTACCCAAGAAAGTGTTCACAAATTTCGAGTAATGGAGAGGGCAATGGAAAGGTCCATGCTCGGTATCAGTCTGACTGAGGGATAGAATACCAAATGATGAAATTCGGAGAAGAAACAGGGAGACAAAACGCAGTATAGGCAGACCCCTACTACGGTGGGCGGATGTCATAAGGAAAATAGCAGGTGGTTGGTACTAGAAAGCCCAAACCAGGGATCACTGGAAAGAATTAGAAAATGCCTATGGTCAGGAGTGGACGAGAAGTGGCTGAGGAAGGAGAAGAAGAAGATGTTGGCCCATGAGTTCAATATCCACAAAACATTATTCATATATTTTGGGATATAGATTTGTTGATACCAATGCCAACAATTCTTCCTCCACTAACTGAAATGTGGTTGGTTTTGTTGGACAAAAGATGAATCAGATTGACTTTTGTTAGTACATATCTAGACTTTTGAAATAAGCCCTTTTCTGTTACTATGCTGACAAATGCTTTCTCTAGCAAGAGATAAAACTCTTGGATGTTTCCTATTCCAACAAAAATATCATTTTGGCTTGGCAGAATTGAAGCAGTAGAAGCAACTGCTTGGAATGCTTGATCATTGTTTTGATAATAATAATTATCCTCTTGAGTGAATGTTGCTGATGCAGAATTTAAGGATAGTGCTTGTAATTCGGGATCTTCAAAAGATACTCTATGATTGTTGAATTCATCCCTCTTCCTATGGCTTTAAAATTAGGATTCTTTCAAAGTTGTTTCAATGTTTGAAGCTATGCTGTTTACGTATTATTGACAGACAATATCGGGCAAATACTTTGTTTTTAGACTTGATATAAATAACGTACAGAATGTATTGCATTCTCATAAATAGTAAAATTTACTCATAAACTCATAAGTTAAATGAGCAATCAAGAGTTTCAGCTTATTTTCATCTCTGGAACCTTTTATGGAAAAAAAAAAAAATTTCAAATATCCAGAGCCAATATTCCCATTCTTGATCTGAGTGGGCCTTGTTCAAAAAAGCATTAAATCTTTGTGGCTTCTGATGGAATAAATTGTAATATAACAACTTAGTAACCTTCAGAAATAAGGATTTTTCATTCATCAAAAACTGTTCACACAGAGCTTTTTTGACAAATTAACTAAGACATAAGTTCATTGCTCATTGGACATAAGTTACAAAATGACAAAAAGGTGAAGGTAATTAATACAGTACATAATCTATAGAGAATTATACAACAACGCGTTCACAAGTAACCAATTTCCCAATTAGTAGGCCAAATTCTTACCATATTCCAAAAAATCCGAAACAGTTTTCTCCTTCCTGAGGCTCGAGTTGCAGCATTCGTCATACAAAATGATCATGAGATCCACAAGACTTTCGACGCTAAAGGCTTGTCCTCGAGAGGCTAGGGGCCCTCTCAAGTAGAGCGCCTCCAGTTGACGGAGGCGGCGCTCTGCCGCTGAGCCGGTAGCCTCTGTGTCCAGGTCGCCCATTTTTTCAGGAAATATTAAATCGTTTTTAAGTTTGAAATGGTCGCTGAATTTCGAAGGGAACAGCTAATGGCATTATTGAACCTGTAACAATAATAATTATTTAGTTGAAATTGTGTTATACAATACAGAAACCACAATACAAAATCCATAGAGATATATTTTTTTTGTTATTAGGATTATGATAGTTTATTTTTTTGAATTTAAATCAAAATTCCTTCGAAAATTTCATTTACTGCCATATTCTTATTATCAATAGTGATAACATGATATTGAAATCGGTGAAAAAACCATCAATGATCATGTGGGAAATTAGTAATTATCAAGGAATATTCTTTATGGGCAGAATTGGAAATGCTTAGAGTGGAGTGTCACTCTAAATTCCCCAAAAACATAGATTTTTTTTCTCAAATTTCAAACTTATTTTCTGTCCACTTGCAAAGTTTCAATTTATCAAACATTTTCCGAGTCCCTGAATGTCGTTTTTTGGGAACTTTTGACACTCCACCTCCACTCTACGTATTTTCTAAATGTCCTGAAACATTTTTACAACTTAAATTCAATAGAGAAAAATGTAGTTGAAAAAATGCAGACGAAAAATGCGGTGGCGTCTCATGGTGCCAACAAAATTATCTAACTCGGCTAGGAGACTCCAAAGAGGTCGAATATTCACCGAGCGATAAAAAAAAAAAGCAAAAGGAATATTTGATTAAAATTAGCATTGAAATGTCAGGAAGGAATTACTCAGTCAGAGCATATAGGATCGCATACATACATAATAATAACGGATTAATTGATTTTATTAATGTAATTACAATTATTCTATGCTAAGTAACTGTCGATGTTAATCTGAATACAATAAGCCGATTGTTTTTATTGAATAGGAGCTGATTTTAGATGGAGTAGTGACAAATTGTAAGGACAAAATATCAGAAAATGTTTCAATTAATTTTTGACTTGATGTGGTTAGCAGGAAGAAAAGGAATAAAGCAGTGAAGTGAAGAGATACTTTCGCCTTATTTTGTAGTTTAATGCAGTAGCTTTGATAGGCAAAATTGAAAATTGGAAAATATGAACTTGTCCAAGGCCTTTGACTCTTTGAGTTTTGACGCTGAATTATGTAGTAGGTGTTTACTTAACAACATAATTTCCATTGCACTTGTTATATTACTATTAAAAATTCTATATACAATCAACAACACCTGAACAGTTTACAATACATAAATAAAAGAACATTATCATGGGCTAGATTTGATAGCGTCCAGATACCTCAGCAAATCTAACACAGAACCGATGAGTCAGCGCGGGATGGTAGCAAAATTTTCAAAAACAATCATCACTATAAATAAAGTCAAACACTACACGAATCAGTCAAAGTCTATTAAAAATAAATAATTTAGTAATTGAAAATATCACAGTTTAAGAATAACAGTTTAAAAATCACAGTAAAAGATTAAAAGATTAGTCTGAGTAGTATTCCCCAAGACTGTAATGGGCTTTGGTTTTCAGAAATCTCTTCAAAGTTTTTCTAAATCGTCCATAGTCCTCCACACCCTTTATTTTGTCTGACAACTTGTTGGAGATCTTAATATATGTATAATAGAATTTTTCGTTAGGCAAATTTCGGAATGCGTAATGGAAAATTTTGATTGCGTAGGTTGTAACCAGTGTCTCTCACTGTATCATTGTTTTTAAATTTTTCAAATATTAGACAGGCTGTTTCCAAAAGAAATATGCAGGGAACTGTCAAAATTATTTCCCGTTTGTTGAAAAGTGGTCTGCAGCTCTGTCCGTATCTTGCATGGCAAATATATCTAACTGCTCTTCTTTGTAGTACAAACACCGATCGAATAGTTTTGAGTGGTACAGTTGCTTAGCGAAAAAAAAAAAACATTTAATGATACAAGCATGAAATTTGGCGCTGTTGCTAAGTAGACCATTTTAATCGACTTGAGTTAAGGACCCATCGACTTTTCTCATTGGTACTGAAAAAATTGCCATTTTGGAAAAATGGCGGTCAATTTTTTAATTTCAATTTTCATTTTGGGCAGACAAGCTCTAGTCTATATATTTCGGGAACGCAGAATAATAGGAAACTAGTTTTAGACCGCTGTGACCTATGGATGGCCTCAAAAAAGTCAATTAAGGTCAAAAAATAAAAGTTTCGAAAATAGCTGCCAAAGTTTCAAAGTTGAAGTTTGTCTTAGCAATGCAGGCATGATTATGGTTTATTGTATATAATTTGAGAAAGAACATATTGAAAAATATAGTTGTAAACCGATATGTCGTCAATTCACCTTGAAAAATATCAATAAGCATATTGTAAATAATTTTTGTAAATAATTTGAAGATAAAGATTTCAAAAATGTATTTATACAAAATTTGTATCCATACAAAATTAAAGTCAACAAACTCTTTCCAGTGAATAGGGAACTTGCATGAAATAACAATCTGACTGCGAAATAAATTTGTGAATGTGCATGGAGGTGCTTAATACCTACTAAATATACTCGTTGCCAGGTGTATTTTGAAAATATCCTAACTAGGTAATTATGGATGGGAACGAAACCAAGTGTTACAAGTGTTCTGAAATAATGGACACAACTGAATTTTATGAGTGTGATTGCTGCCAGAAACAAATACACAAACAATGCATGCCCCTATCCTCATCAGAAATGAGAGTTATGCCTTTACAAAAGCGTCTGTTAGTGTTTATGTGTGATGTATGTAAAAAAATGCTAACAAAAATTCCGTATTTGATTGGTGTTATTGAAGACATGAAGAAAGAATTTGAGGAACTTAATTTGTACCTCAAAAATTCTCACAAAAATGAAATTGGGGAGTTTAATAAGCAAATTTTAGATTTCACCTCTAGTAATTCCAAACTTACAGAACAAGTGAGCAGCTTACATGCAAAAATAGATACTTCAGTATCTCAGAGTACCAAACCTACTTATTCATCTGTAACTAGTGAGAAGAGTAAATTATCACTTTCTAAAAAAAATATTCCTAATCTTATTATAAAGCCAAAACAGCAACAATCATCTAAAAAAACCAAGGAAGACTTACTTAATCGGATAAATCCCTCCAGCTTGAATGTTGGTGTGAGAAATACAAGGGAGACAAAGGGAGGTAGTCTTGTTATTAAATGCCAGTCTAAGCAAGAGATTGAAATATTACAGGAGGAGGCTAAGAAAACTTTAAATAACAAATATGACATTCATCTAACCAAATTAAAATTGCCTAGAATAAAAATAGTGGGTTTTGATGAAGACCTTTCACTGGAACAAGTGACGGATTTTCTTAGAAACCAAAACCAATATATTGCTGATGATAATTTTTTGAAGATAAGCTTTTTAAAAAAATTAAAAAATAAGAAAACGAACACAATATATGGTGAGTGTTCACCGGAACTCTTTCGTAAATTTATGGATTATGGAAAGGTGTATTTGCAGTGGGGAGTATACCGTGTATATGAAGACCTAAGCATCATCAGATGCTTCAAATGTCAGGGTCATTATCACAAAAACACCGACTGTCCAAATGAAATCATTTGTGAATACTGTGCCGGCACTCATGATGTTCGCGAGTGTCCCAAATCTTCCAAAAAATGTATAAACTGTGATAAGGCTAACCAAAGATATAAGACTTCCTATGACATTTACCATGAAGCCAGCAATGCTGAATGCCCATCTTACATGCATCTGTTAGAAATTCTTAAGAGTAAAATTGATTATGGACAATCCTGATGGCGGTACTGGGGTATGATAGGAGTGTTTCTAATCAGTCTTTTTTAACCATTGCTAATCTAAATGTAAGATCTCTATTACCTAGTTTTGTAAGTTTTCGTGATTTGATAGGAAATTCATATGATATTGTTTGTGTAACAGAAACATGGCTTAATCCTTCTATTACGTCTGAATTAGTGTCACTGCCTGATTTTGCTTTTTGTAGAGAGGATAGAAGGGGTAGAGTCGGTGGTGGTCTTGGCGTATTTCTTAGATCTACCATTTCTCATGAAATTGTAAGTATTAATTTGAACAATGTGAGCTTTGAGGGTATGCTTCTGAGCCTGAGGGTTGGTACTTACAAAATTGCTTTGTTGATTGTGTATAGACCCCCGAATACTAGAGTGACAGAAATTATTGATTTCCTTGAGGGCATTATCCCCCAATTGTTGTCTGATTATGATTTTTCTATTATTACAGGAGATCTTAATGTTGATATGCTTAAACCTAACTCTTTGTTTGACATCCTTTACACTTACGGGTATTCTCAGTTAATAGATGAACCAACTCGCATTACAAACACATCATGTACATGTTTAGATCCAATTTTTATTAATTCCAAAGATGTTTGTCTGAATAGTGGTACTGTCCCTTCAGATATTAGCGATCACAATAAAATGTCTGTATGCTCTTTAAGCATAGTAGTTAAGAAACCAAAGCAAAAATTTATTGAGCTACGCGATTTTGAAAACTTTGATCTGCGTGAGTTTCAAGCGAATTTAACGTGTATTCCTTGGAACAATATTTTTCATATCCTTAACTTAAATGACAAAGTTTGCTTTTTAGAACAAAACATTATTAATTTATTTAATATCCATGCTCCTTGTAGGATCATCAGGGTTAGCAAAAAACCTGCTCCCTGGTTGACTGACACCTTGAAAATAATTTTAAAACAGAGGGACAAGGCCCTTGCCAAATATAGAAATAATAAAACCCAAGAAAACTGGAATTACTATAAGGAAGCACGTAACTTTGCGCTGGCTTCCATTCGAAGGGAAAAAGCAGCCTATCTTGAACACTTGCAAAGGAGTAAAAATGAGAAAAAATTCTGGCGTGGTCTGAGCGATCTAAACATCAAAACTTCTACAGGTAATGAAAATGAGCTGCCGCCGAACTTGCAAGACCCAAATGTCATAAATGACTATTTTGTGAGTATATTTAACAAGTCTGACAACTGCATCGACCAAATTAATTACTTCTCAGGCAATAGATTCTCAGAAAGTGTTTTTGCTTTTACTTTGACTGACAGAGAAACTGTTCATAGTGTGGTTGACGGCATCAAGTCCAATGCTGCCG